ATGGCCATTATAAAAACAAAAACAACAGAAAATAACAAGTGTTGGTAAGGATGTGAAAAAATTGGAACCCTTGTGCATTATTGCTGAAAATGTAAAATGTGCAGCTACTATGGTAAAGAGTATGGAAGCTCCTCAAAAATTAAAAATAGAGCTAACATATGATCCAGCAATCTCACTTCTGGGTATTAATCCAAAAGAACTGACCTAAATGTCCATCGACGGAGGAATGGGTAAAGCTGTGGTGGTACCTATATACAAGGGAATATTACTCAGCCATAAAAAAGAATGAAATAATGCCATTTGCAGCAACATGGTTGGACCTAGGGATTATTACACTAAGTGAAGTAAGTCAGAGAAAGAAAGACAAATATCATATGATATCATTCATATGTGGAATCTAATTTAAAAAAAAGAAAGAAAAGAAACAAATGAACTTATTTACAAAACAGAAATGGACTTACAGATAGCGAAAACAAACTTATGGTTACCAAAAGGGAAACACAGGGGGTTGGGAGGGATAAATCAGAAGCCTGGGATGAACACACACATACACTACTACATATAAGATAGATAACCAACAAGGACCTACTGTATAGCACAGGGAATTCTATTCAATATTCTGTGATAACCTATATGAGAAAAGGATCTAAAAAAGCATGAATATATGTACATGTATAACTGAATCAATATTCTGCGATAACCTATATGAGAAAAGAATCTAAAAAAGCATGAATATATGTACATGTATAACTGAATCACTTTGCTGTACACCTGAAACTTACACAACATTGTAAATCAACTATATTGCAATAAAATAAAATAAAACAACACACACACACACCAAAAATAAGAATTGAAAGCAGTGTCTCAAGAGATACTTGCAATCCCATGTTCACTGTAGCATTATTCACAATAGTCAAGAGGTGGAAACAACCTAAATGCCCATCAACAGATGAACGGATAAAGAAAACGTGGTGTATACATACAATGGAATATTATTCAGCTTTTTAAAAGGAAGGAAATTCTGTAATATGCTACAACATGGATGAGCCTTTCACTTATCATATGAAGCGAAATAAGCCAGAAAGACAAATGTTGCATGATTCCACTTATATAAGGTATTTAAAGTAGTCAAACTCATAGACGCAGAAAGCAGAATGATGACTGCCAGGGGGCTTGCAGGAGGGGAAAATGGGAAGTTGCTGTTCAGTGGATATAGAGTTTCACTTACTCAAGATGAAACAGTTCTAGAGATCCACTGTACAACAATGTACCCATAGTTAATAAAACTATACTGTATATATCTCATTTTTAAAATAAAAAGGAATGTATAGGAGAATATTTGGGGGCATGGGGATGGGCACAGGGAGAAGGGACTAGACTAGGGGAGGAATCCAGGCAAAAAAAGAAACAAGTACAAAGGCCCTGAGCTAATAACCTATTCACGGAACTGAAAGAGGTCCGTTACAACTCAGGCATGGTGAGTAAGAAGGAGAGTGATAATGGATGAAAACTAGAAATGCAGCAGGGTCTGGTCGAGCAGTACTTACAGGTCATGTTAAAAGATTTGAATTTTATCCCCAAAACAATGGAAAGTTTCTAAATGGTTTTAAGTAAGGGAATAACAATCTGATTCATGTTTGGGAATGATTACTCTTTTAACAGACTTGCTTTTTCTCTGTAATGCAGCGGTCCCCAACCTTTTTGGCACTAGGGACTGGTTTCATGGAAGACAGTTTTTCCACAGACAGGGTGGGGGGATGGTTTCAGGATGATTCAAGCACATTACATTTATTGTGCACTTTATTTCTATTATTATTACATTGTAATATATAATGAAATAATTATACAACTCACCATAATGCAGAATCAGTGGGAGCCCTGAGCTTGTTTTCCTGCAACTAGATGGTCCCATCTGGGGGTGACGGGAGACAGTGACACCCAAAGTGTGTTGCTTATGTCCAGTCTACTCCATAATCTCGTTTTGGCTGCTGTCACTGCAGAAAACCCTGCTTCACAAAGATAGGGTGTTGGAAATGGAAGCAGCCTTTTCAGTGCTTTTTGTGGCAATCTCAGGATATTCCGCCTTAGCTTTCATCCAGAACATATGGAGATTTGAAGTTGTCTCAAACATACTTTTAAGGCTACCGTCATTTGTGATCTCAACCAGTTGATCCTCTTCTAGGACGGACAAAGTCGATTCACCTGGCTTATTCACAAATGGGTCACAGATCCATTCCTTCCCAGTTCAGTCTTCTGTGGTTGGGAAGTAATGCTCAAACTCTTTTGAAAGCTGAGATAGGTGATCACGCACCAGCTGGGAGAAAGAAGGCCCTGGCTCAGTCTCTTTCAAAATCTCTGCCAATGTTTGAAACATGTCAAAAATCCCAGTGTTCACTTGTCGCCCCCATAATTCAAGTTTGGCTTTGAATGCAGCCTCTTTTTCTGCCGACTTGAACACAGTTGTCGTTCTCCCCTGAAGTGACAGATTGAGTTCGTTGAGCAGGTTGAATATGTCACACAAGTAAGCAAGTTTTGTGACCCATTCTGTGACACTGAAATGTGCTGCCAGTGGTGACCATTTTTCTAAAAGAAATCTCTGGAGTAGTTCTCATAACTCAAAAACTCTGGCCAGTGATCTACCTTTAGAAAGCCATCTCACTTCTGTGTATAAGAGAAGACGTGTGTGCTCTGCATCCTCCTCCTCACAGAGCTGCGTGAACAGATGTGAGTTAAGGGCATGCACTTTAAATATGGCTGATAATTTTAATCACATCCTGCAAAATGCTCTTAAGTTCACGTGACATTTTTCAGCTAGCCTGCATTTCTCTACGGATGATACAGTGCGTAGACTTACATTTGAGAAACGACCTCTTTGACTCGAGTTGAGAAACCAGAGAGCCATCCAGTCATGGCAGCTGCTCCGTCCATGCATATACCAACACAAAATGACCCATTCAGTTTTCTTGATATGTAATAATTCAACGACTTGAATAGTTCTGCAGCTGTAGTGTTGGCTGGCAACAAAAGTGCACATAACATACCCTCATGCACATCCTCCTGAAAAATATATCGCACAAAAACAAGCACTGTTGCCTTGTTGTCAACACAGGTAGGTTTGTCAACCAGGGTTGCTACCACGGTGACTCATTAATCCTCTAACAATTATGCCTCAATATCCTCTGCTATTTCATCAATTCATCTAGTTATGGTGCTAGCTGAAAGAGGAACACGTGCCACCTTCTGAACTGCAGCCTCTCTTAAAAGTTCACACCAAATGTCCTTAGCAGCAGGCAGGATCAACTCTTCACCAATAGTAAAAGGCTTCTTAGCTTTAGCAATGCGGTTAGCCACTAAGAATGATGCTCTCAGTGCAGACACATTCGATGAAGTGGTGGCCTTCAATAATTACTTCTATTCTTGTGTTCACATTTTTTTCTTTTGAAAAACTCCAAAGGCTTGTCTTTAATGTAGGGTGCTTGGTCTCCATGTGGCAAAGCAGTTTTGAAGGCTTCACAGCTGCACTGGATAACCGGTTGCCACATATTATACAAAGCGGGGTTGGAGAATGTCAATCACCTGTTGCAATGAACCTGTAATTTAAGTAGGACTCTTGGTATTTTCTTTTAAATGCAGCTTTCTTTTTGTTGGCAGCCTTAGACTCTTCTGCTGTCTCATCATTGGGTCTTTCCCCCTTTTCAAAGAAGCTCTCCAGCGACATTTGTTTTTTACTCATTTTGGCTAGGGTTAGCTTGTGGGCTTACCAAAACTTTGAGACAAGTGCGCAGAGTGGGAAAGAGGCGCGGATAGAAGTGGTAAATAAAATAATGGGCAGGCCACCCATGGACTAAAATAAGTGCCGGATTCTGACTTAAAGCCTGCCACCAGATGCAGCTAACAATTGAAGTACATCAACTCACTTGCCACTATAAAGCCTTGCTTAATTGTCACTTGCCACTCACTGACAGGGTTTTGATATGAGTCTGCAAGCAACTGATTTATTACGGTCTCTGGGCAGTCAAACCTCTCTTCTAATGACAATCTGTATTTGCAGCTGCTCCCCAGTGCTAGTATCACTGCCTCAGCTCCACCTCAGATCATCAGGCATTAGATTCTCATAAGGAGTGCGCAACCTAGATCCCTCGCATGCGCCGTTCACAGTATGGTCTGTGCTCCTATGAGAATCTAATGCCACTGGTGATCTCACAGGAGGTGGAGCTCAGGAGGTAATGCAAGCGATGGGGAGTGGCTATAAATACAGATGAAGCTTTGCCCACTTGCCCGCCACTCACCTCCTGCTGTGCATCTCAGTTCCTAACAGGCCACAGACTGGTACCTCAATTAATAAAATTAAATAAAATTAGGAAAGGATCTCCCCAAAAAGGAACAAAGGCAAAATTTCAGAAACATCTAAAATTTAGATATAAGGCAAAACCGTATTAAAATAGAAATTAATACAATTTCTAGTTCTGCAACAAACATGGATCAAATAATCTGAATCAAACATGAATTCAACAGTTTCTCTACAGAATTTTGGTAAAGTTTGTCTGAAAATGGCAGGCATAAACTATGAGTCTCCTTTGAGAGAACAGTACTACACCATTTATTTAGCTGGCAGGGAGAAGAAGTGATGGAAATGTCTTATTTCTGATTTCTCATTAATCATAGTATTAAAAATGAAGGAGCTTCAGCTATAAAGTCTGATATCAATATACTTAATAATTCTGGTATTTTTTTTAAGCTCTGAGATGTTTGATTTGTATCTGCCCTAAAACAGCTTCATATATCATTCTGCATATGTGGAACAAAAAAAAAATTACTCTCAAACTTACCTCAATCTGAAGACAGTATTTAAAATTAGAACACAATAATCTGTATGAAACAATATCAATTTGTTTTTATTTCCTTCTTGTCAGCAGTCAACTCAAAACAAAAGAATATAAACTGAATGTTTACCTAATGAATTATTTGTGGAGGCTATATGGTAGGAAAAACCTTACCAACGGTACAGCTGTCTTCAAGTACCACATCAACATTTCTGTCTCTGTACTCAACCCTGAAGTCCAGCATCCGAGGTTGCCTTTCTACAATTTGCCTAGATGGCATTACAGGTCGAAATGCTGAAGAAGAAGAGGGAGCAGGAGCAGGAGCTGGAGCTGGGTGACTTGCTGGATCAAATGCAGGTCCTGATATAGGCTCACCCCCATAGTCACTGAAATATTGACATAAAAGAAGAATTATCATCAACCAAATAACTACAGATTACCACTAAGGACCCACTCCATACTGTAAGTCCCATACATACAAACCTTCAAGTTGCGAACTTTCAAAGATGCGAAAGTATTATAAACCTATTACAGCACAATACTATATGGCTGATTGTGTTAGCTGGGTACCTAGGCTAACTTTGTTGAACTTACGAACAAACTGGACTTACGAAAGCACTCTCGAAACAGAACTCATTTGTATAGAGGGGACTTAACTGTACTTGGCTTGTGTTGTTCTTCATATCAAATTTACCTACCTGTGCATCATGGACTAAGTAAATTCTAATTCTTCCATAAAATCTCTCCCAATGACTGAAAGCCACATTACTCTCCCTCCCATCCTTGCCTTTCTATGTCTGTTAGCAGTATCACACATATCCCTTTTAATTAGACTTTTGCCTTATGCTGTTATGATGCTGATAAAACATCATTTTAAACTCTGTGAATTACTAACAGTATCTTCTTAACCCACTCGCATTTACTTACCGAATCATTAATTGATTCATTAACTCTACTTTCCACAAAAACTATTCTGAAACTTAACCATCCCTAAACCTCCATTCTCCCTCTCACTCCTCAGTCTTAAAATATATTTTTCCTACCTTTGCAGAGAAAACAGATGCCATCAAGAAGAAATTCCCTTACCCTTCTAACATCAAATCCACAAACTAACCTGCATATGCACTCTCTTTCTCTAAATAGAGAAGACATCGTTCTATCTACGCATCTACTCATTAGCCTTACATTATGGATTATCCCTTTCCCTTCCATTATCTTCAACATCTCCTTCTCTTCTGGATTCTTCTCAGAAACATTTAAACATGGTTGAATCTCTCCCTTCTTAAAGAATAAAAATGAAATTGTGGCTCTGTCCACTTAATAGCTGTCTCATTTGTAAAATAGGAAAATTAATTATATTTGTAAGGATTAGATCAAATAATGTGTATGAAAAGCTTAGCACAATGCCTAGTACTTAGTAAGATCCCAAACCTCAAACCCAGTACAGCCAAAGTTTAAACCATTAATGTTTCCCCAAGCCTGATTTTCCCATTTATTCCACATATTAGCTACCCAAGCTAGAAACCTCTGGCATTATCCTTGCCCTCTTTTTCTCTCTCAACTCCCACATCTAACTAGTCCTTTCAGTTTTACCTCCTAAATATCTTTTAGATAAGTCATCTACCTTTCCCCTCCGGAGCTGCCACCCTAGTCCAAGCCACAGTCACCTCTTACACAGATTAATGCAATAGCCTAACTCCATACATACCCTTACCCCCCTGCATTTCATCCCATACCACCGCTAGAGTGAAATTAAAGACAAATGTCTTCATATCATTTTCTTCTATACTCCCCTTTGCTCTTCATATAAATGGTCAAAGTGGCATACAAGGCCCTATATGATCTGAATCCTGTCTACCTTCCCATCTTCATCTTGTGCTATGCTATCTCCATCTCTCTATGCTAATAGCCAGAACAGCTTTTTGTTTTTTGTCTTACCTTGATCCTTCCTAGTTCATGAGGTAACATAAAAATTATTCCTTCTAAGAATATTCTTTCCTTCCCATCCCATCCCCAAATTCCATCTTTCTTCTAGCTAATTATATTTATCTTTCATATCTCAGATTATTTTTCAACTCAGAGCATGTTTTACTACCTCAGACTAGTTATAACATCTCACTACTATCAATAATTATGAAGCTCACATTTGTGTTTTTAATGGCTGTATCATCTGCTGAGTTCAAGATTTTATACATAGAAGATATACAAATATTTGACAAACTAATGAGTAGAGAAATAATTATGAAGAATTTGGATTTTTTTTCTTTGATTTAAGTTATCATATATATATTATCACTGTTTTTCCCCCCTCAGTAGGAAAAGTAGGGAGGGAGGAAACATAAGAAATGTTCCTATTAAAGATCATTACTGTATAATTTTTCTCCACCACCAGAACTACAAGCTCAGTTCTAAAATATCTTTCTTCTCACCCTGAATTTAAAGAAAAATAATGTGTTGGGGGCCCGAATAGGAACAACAACAAAAATGACCAAAAACTTGCCAAGTTAAGCATTGCTTATACAATTAAGAAGGAGAGAATATTTACATTTACTTCACACTGTTGCTTTGATCAGTGTTTATCAAATTATAGATTACATAATTGATTGAGTTGTGGTAAGTCTTTTAAAGAACACAATCAGAATAAGATTAAGAATAGAAAAGAATAGGATAGGATAGAATAGGATAGAAATTATCAGTATATTTCACTAAATAGTTAGGACCAAGTATTATTTCATAAGACTTTTGATTCTGGGACATATTTGTAATATGTGTATTTTGGAATGCAAATATTTCTCATTGTAGGTCTTGTCAAAAAAGTTTGAAAGTGACTAGCTTAGATCTCACCAGAGTTCAGACACTCTAATCACTGATCCAAAGACAAAAACCTATCCATTCTCCCAGTTGTCAGAGTCAAGGAAAGTAATGTGGGAAGGAAAATATGAGAACAGAGAAAATGTCCAAAGCAGGAAGAATGTCACTGTTTGGAAGCCAAAGTGAGCTTCTAGGCATCTATGAACAGAATGTGTGCAATAATACTTCACATATCTAAATGTTGTCACAACTTCTCAGAACCTAAGAAAAACAGCTAATTAGCAGTTTGGTCACTGACATTGTTTTCTTAACTCCAAATTCATCCTTCTATAGTCTATTCTGTAATGCAGGGGCTAGGATTCTGCAAAATTATATTTTTCCTTTGGCATATGGTTTCCTGATAGACCTCTGTCAAACAGAGGATACTAGGTAGAGATTAGTAGTTAGGAGGAGGGGAGGAAAGACTTCCTTCTTCCTGTTTGCATGCATTTCAATCAGCATCACCCTACAGCTTTCAGTCTCCTGCTTTTTTCAGCACTCTTATAACCAGCTTCTTGTCATTCCCTCTGAGATATCACTAATGGCTGGACAGTATACATTCCACAGAGGTCTGATCTTCAGCTTCAAAGAGCTCCTCTGAGTTTCAAAGTTCTGTTAATCCCTTTGTTCCCTAGACCTTCAAGCAGTAACTTCCTGAAGCAGTTATTGTATCTAGGTTACTTCAGTTTTACTTTTTTGCTCTTTTAGTCTTCCACACCTGTGTAACCAATCCTACATTAAATTCCCTCTGTTAAAAATACCCTAGTGTGGTTTCATTTTCTTGATAATGGAGGTGCCCCAGGAAACAAAAGATTCAGGAACTGGCTTGATTATGGCCTTGACCTTCAATGCACTGCTGAACTCCTTGCCAATGGAAAATGGGATGCTAGTGATCCAAGCCATGCACTGGCATAATGATTAATTATCATTATTGAAACAAGTGCCAAAGGGAACCAAATGACTATCTGACCTGACTATTATGGTGGTAATAATGACAAGGACTATGAGCAGGCTGCTTCTGACTCTAAAGGAGAGCTTACAGAATAAAATGACACACTTGGGGTTTTTAAATTTCAGTTCAATTCATGATAAGAAAGTTACAGAGTTTCTGAAGTGGCACTTTAAAAAGAGCTTCTTATTTCTTATAACCACAGGTATGGTCTTCCTAAGAATTGGACTCAAAATTTAATTTTGCAGCTTGCATATTTACAGTGAAAGTTGAACATACATACTAAGTCACTTTTGTGAAAGTTAAGGCACTGTTGTGGAAGGAGTGAGAACCTAAGATGTGAAATGGGGATACCTGAGCGGATTCAGGTGAATGTCGGAATCCTGAACCCCTGGAGTGTCTCTGAGCCTCTTCTGTAAACAGAAACAGCTCCTCCTCCCATGACCGAGATTAGCTTCTTGCTTAAAAACTATGAATACTCTTACCTGAGACAGTTGCCTTGAAGGGGGATGTCTATTCTCAAAACCTACCTCCACCATTCCTTATTACCTATAAAATCAGATGTAGGCATGTTCCAAGAAAATAAGTACAATGTCTTAACTGAGACAAGACAGCTTATATCCAAAAGTAATTATAATATTTTGATAAATTATATCAGCAAAAACCTAGGGAACAGTTGTAGAAATGAATTTTAAGTGAGTTTGACCAAAAGAGTTTGAATAGGGCCAAATATAATATATTTGCTTAAGCAGTTGTAAGTACTTCTAATAGTTTCCTTGTCAACTGAATGAAACTTGAATCCCAAAGGAGTCTACATTTAATGAGGAGGAAATGCCCAAACTTTCCTGTCAAAATGTAGAAGAAATCCAGATGCTTAGAAAAATATGAATGCTAAAGTGGATTAACCATGTACAACCTGAATATATTATACACATCCTCCTACTACATAATCCATGAGGTCCCAGAGAACACTGCACTAAAGCACTGAAAAATACATTAGTGAGGGAATCTACATCCTTGAAAAACTCTGTAGTGGCTGTCTTCTGTGGGTTGGGAATAACATGGGGAGATGACATCACTGAAAAGGACTCCCTAATAGGCATGATGAGATCCCAGAGTGCATAGGTCAAATGGCAGAGTTTAACAAGAAAAAGGAGGGAGCAATGATGTTACGGACAGCATGGACAAAATGTGGCAATCAGAAGATTTCAACCTGCAGAGACCTTTAGTAGTGCTTTATTGAACATGGTACTTCTAAGAAACAAAATGAAAAGTCAGTTGACTAAAATATTACTTGATCTATAAACAACAGAAACCTAGATCTGGCAGCCTAGATCCTAACTTCCATAACTATAATGGAGGGTCACAGTCACTCCCAGTTGCCAAACACAAAGTCCTTGGTCCCCCAAAGACAATGCAACAGAGCCACATGTGTATTGTAAATTTTCCTCTAAGAATTCCCCTAAGAGACCTGTAGCCATTTACTAGGGGTTTGTGTACTGAAAAAAGGAAAATATCTAGATCTTTAGAGGATTACTAGATGCTAACTCTAATACTAATTCCTGGGGATACAAAAATGGAAGTTAT